AGAGCTTGCTACTATTGGCTCCGTGTGTGTGTGTGTGTGTGTGTGTGTGTGTGTGTGTGTGTGTGTGTGGTGGAGCAGATCCACATGCACGCGTATGTTTGGAAACTAAAGGACAGCTTGAGGTATACCCCAGGGCGGCTCTCAACCTTTTTGAAATAGTTCTCTCACTTGGACCTTAGACTAGTTTTGACTAGTCTGACTGACCAGCAAGCCCTGACATCCGCCTATCTCTACTTCCCAGTGTTCGAATTTCAGGCACATACCACCTCACCCAGCTTTTAGGTCGGTTCTAGAGACTGAATGTGTTTCCTCATGCTAGTGCAATAAGCATTTTGCAAATGGAGCCAAACTATTCGCTTTTTAAAAGTATTCTTATTGTGCATAGGCTCTGTGGGTTTGTATTTCTGTTTGCTTTACATAGTTGCAGTTGTGCCCTGTAACATGAACATGACAGTGTTTCTAACATTAAATTTCCATTCTATTTCACATTGTTTAGAAACATTATCATGGTCATAAACCATGTTTCATCAAATTTAAGAAGCTCTTGGTGGTAAAGAACATGACTGATTTATCTGTCACTAAAGCGGGGGGACACGTTGCTAGTTAGTGTGAAGCACTATCAACCAAGAGACGCACCTCATTTTTGGAGGTGTTAGTATTTAGAAAACTTTTTTTTCCAAGTTGGAAAAGATCACAACATTCACTATTAGTATATAGAGTGGTTATAGCACTATTTTCTTTTTTTTGAGATGTTTAGGCTCTTTTGGGGGTTTTCACTGTTACAGTAAATATTGCAATAAACCTGCTCTATACAAATTTGAATATTAAGGTGGGATAATAAGATTCATATTTTGATTATCTTAGGTTGTCAGAAATGCGTTTAACTCCTAAGTCAGGTTGTATCTAATATTCTAGAACCATAAGGCCAAATTATTGCACAACTTTAACCCTCACCAGTTGCATTGCACCATCATCCAGGTAGAGTTTTGTCAACATAATAACAAAAGGCTGCATTATTTAGCTGGGTATAGCTCTGCACCCCTGTAATTCCAGGACTTAGGAGATAGAGACAAAAGAATCAAAAGTTCAAGGCCTCAACTATGTAGTCATTATAAGACCAGCCTGGACTAAGTAAGACACTGTCTCAAACAAAATAAAACATAAAACCAAAACTCACTTTATTGTGTTGTGGGGAAAGTAATTTTCACCTTGAGTTTTCAGTTTTAAATTAAAGAGAGTGGTTAAATGTTTACTATGTATTTGTATTTCTGTGTTTTTCTATTATCTACATGTTATTTCTCTGATGAATTGTTTTTATTCTCAAAGAGATTTTCAGTTTTAACTGGTTAATTTGCAGGGTCTTATTGTGAAGCTTAGTCTGGCCTTGAACTCATGACCTGCCTCAACTTCACGATGGTCTTCAACCTGGCTGAGGTCTTCCTTTAGAGGGTTGCTAACCAACTCTCTTTCGAATTCCTAGCACAGAATTTTCTTGTTTGCCTGAAGTTTTAATTTTGTAAAGAAATTCAATTTTTTTATGTTTGTAGTCTATTTATAATAACGTTGACTTTCCAATCTCATTGCTTGAGTTGTTTGTTTGTCTGTCTGTTTTGCTGTTCTGGGAATAATAGAACCTTGAGCCTCATGGCTAAGCAAGCACTCTGTTACTAAGCTATACGCCCCCCCCCAGCCCCTTCTTTGAGATTTATTTCATTGTTTCTAAAACTTTAGAAATTTATCTGTATTTGTTTCTGGTATTTCTCCATTAATCTGTGTGTTTTTGATGTCACTGTTACAGTAATTCATTGCGCTTTTCATTTCCTCCCTGCTAATCTTTTTAAATTTTGTTATTGTCTGTGGGAAAGATGCAGTGGTAGGAAACAAGCTTAGTATAATCACGGCCCTAGTTTCATTTACGTTTGCAAAAATATAAAAAAAAACAAATCTATTGTGCTTGCTTACCTTTTATTCGTTAATAATTTCAGTTAGGGGTGTTTTTTAAACCTGTGATTGGAACTATATCAAACCATGAATTTTAGGAATCATTGGTGTTTTGATATTATGTAGACTTGCCAGTCAAGCATTGAAACTGCTGCTCTGGAGAAACCCCGGTACATATGTGCAAGCAGACAGGCAAAGGAATATGTGCTATAGTAATTCTTGCCGTTGTTAGTAGTTAAGAGCAGTAAGAATCTGGAGGACAGATGAGATCATTGGGACATAGTTATACAATAGGATGCTCCACGAGCAGCCAGGGAGCTTGCTCTGTCTCACCTCTTTCTAAGAGATGGATAGGAAGCTTTCTACTCCTTTAAAAGCATTATATTTAGGGGCCTGATGGCCCTGCAGTTAAAACATGTACTTCTCTTTCAGAGTACTGGAGTTCTGTTCCCAGCTTCCATGATGGTTGGCTAACAAATGTCTGTAACTCCAGCTTCACGAGGTCTTCTTGCCTCTGGTTTCTACAAGCACTTCTCATATGCACGTACCACATACAGACCCACATGCATACATATAATTAAAAGTGATGGAAAAAAATTTAAATTATTTAAATTAATCTAACCATTTTATTTAGAGCCTTAGAACTTTATAATAAAATATCATAGTAAAATAGCAATTTCTTTAGATTAGAATACATTATTTCATTTAGCTTAAAGTACCACTGAGGAAAGTGCTAGTGAAGAATTTTATTTTCAAATATAGACCACATTATTATTGCTCTTAGTCATCCTATAGTATTAGATCTGAAAATCAATCCCTTCTGTCTATCTGAAGTTCTCAATCGGCACCTGCTCATTCCCTCCCTTCTCAGTTGCCCAGCCTCTGGCAACCATCATGGTACTCCCAATTTCTGTGTATTCAGTTGTTTTAAAATACTTGTCTCTCTCTGCTTGACATAATACAGTAATGATCTGTGTTGTCACATGTGACATAGCCCTCTCCCCTTCAGTATTGTTCGTGTGTGTGCATGCACCACAGTGGGTTATCTGGATGTCAAAGAATTGGTTTTCACCTTCTGCCTTTACATAGGTTCTAGGGATTGAACTCAGGTTGTCAGACTTGCGTAGGCAAGTGCTTTACCCATGGAGCCATTTCATTGGCCTGATTTCCCTCGTTTTTAAGATCAAATAGCATTATGTGATATCTGTCTTTATCAATCCATTCATAGACATGTGTGTTATGAAGTGTGATGTGTGTTAGCCGTGGGAGTGGTGCTCGGTGATCATGGGATGTAGATACCCCTTCACACGTTGACTTTTATCCCTTTGGATATGTCTCCTGGAGGAAAAATATTGACCAACTAGTTGGTGGTTCTACCACTAATTTTTTTGAGGACCTCCACACCATTTCTTGTCCCAGCTATTCCAGTTTACATCTCCACCACCAGCACCCAGGAGTCCCCTTTTGTCCATGTTCTCACTAACACTTGTTGCCTTTCATCTTTTTGTATTTGGCTGGCTTGTGTCACAGTTCATTTGAGACCTAATTATGGAGCATGGTGTGGAGCATCCTGGCACTGCGCAGGTGGTCATCCCTCCCTCCCAGGGGTTGGGGTGTGGCCCAAGGCAGACAGATGCTACCAGAACAGGGATGAAGTAACTACAGGGATTGTTTCCTTGTCTCTGATTTAGTTCTTTCTGATTCTGTCACTATTTCTATTCTTTTCTTGGAGATATTTGGCGTGGTTTCCTTTTTAACTTTTTAAATTCTTTTTTATTGTTCTTCTCATATGAATGAATTATAATTGTAAATTCACACCCTCCCACTTGTCCTGCCAACTATATGAAGGCTTCCTTTCAAGAACCATTTCAGATTTTTAGCATTAATTTTGTTGAGCTATTTGTGGGCTTGATTCCATTTAATCTTTTCAGCATTATATTTGTAGACATATACAACCTGTGTGTGCAGCCATTGTATATTATCTAGAGATTTAATTGTGAGGCTGTACACTTTCCTTCCCAGAACCATGTTTATTTTCCTATGGTTCTGTGAGAATGCATGGGGTTGCCCAGTCCAAAGATTTTTTTTTTATTTTTTGCACATTGCTGTTGTTTTTGAAAGGCCATTCTGTTGGAATGTGCTTTGAAAGAGGATTTTTATTTCTTTTAAAAGCCACAAGACAAATTTACGTTTATATCTGATCATTAATCTTGACTAGAAAAGTCCTTTAAGTGATGGAGTTTAAAGAATTCTTCTTCATATTAGACATTATATCTTTTGCTGTTGAGATTTTATTCCTTGTTTCCTTTTGTTGTGGCTGACTTTTCCACTACCCTCTCTGCTGTTAGGTTTTTTAAGATAACACTTTATTTTCTTCATATTGCTATAAAGTACCTACACACATATAATAATATATATGGACATTTATATTCTTTGCCATCATTTTAGGTTTAAAAATGTTACCATTAGCCGGGTGGTGGTGGCGCACGCCTTTAATCCCAGCACAGAGGCAGGCGGATCTCTGTGAGTTCGAGACCAGTCTGGTCTACAAGAGCTAGTTCCAGGACAGGCTCCAAAACCACAGAGAAACCCTGTCTCGAAAAACCAAAAAAAAAAAAAAGTTACCATTATCATTATCTAACCTTTCCTTCTTTACTTTAAGAGCCATTTCATTTTAAAATAGAAAAATGATAGTCAAGAATATTCTGAATCTAGTCTATTCATCAAGACTAGATAAGAACTAAGTATTGTTTTCCCAGTACTGGGGATAGAGTGGAGGGCCCTTGCATATGCTAGGCAACTGAGCCACATGCCTGAGCTTGTGTTTATGTAGCAAATGGTTCTGCATCACAGTTGGCTCGTTTTAAGTGTGAGTGGGTGAACTAGACACAGGTCAAACAGTGCCCAGAGAGTAAAATCAGTAGCCAAGTGTGTGCCATGGGAAAGGTATCCAGTTGAGAGTGGATGGGACTGGCCAATCCATGGAGAAGTGGGCATGCTAGGAGCTGAAAGTTACCATGTTTTAACTTGGCTTGTTTTTTTTTTCTTTGTTTGTTTAGCATTCCATATTGGAAGAAGAGATTATTAGACATGAAAAAAATGCCTTTGTTTAGTAAATCACACAAAAATCCAGCAGAAATTGTGAAAATCCTGAAAGACAACCTGGCCATTTTGGAAAAGCAAGACAAAAAGACAGATAAGGTATGATTTAAAACAAAGCCATTATTAAAATGTGTGTATTTTAAGGCCACGCCCATGTAAAAGCTTAATGAAGAATTAAGTGTGGTCCCTGTCATATTCATAGGTTGTTTCGGGTTTTTATGCAGCTAGTAAATGTTGGGTCTGTTGTACTGAACCTTTCTTCAGTGTCCCTCTGACCCAGCCCAAGTCTCTGTAGACATCAGAGCTGTCTCGTTGTACTGTGTTATGGTGATGGGAAAGAGAGAACTGGCACAGTTCTTCCACATTGTTCTGAGGTCTGACCAAGGGACTTTCTCATAGAGAGGCCTTTGTTCATTCTTTGAAGGAATTTTAAGCCCCACATGGTTGGTTCTCTCTGCAATGACTAGATTCAAGATGACCTGTTATAAAATAAAAGACCTTAGGGTCATAGTGTGCTTCTATCTCAGTGTGTGATAAATCCTTAACCTTACTAAGGAATTGGAGAAATATCTTGTTCTAATTCGGACAGTCTTTGAGACAGCCAATTTTTGGTTTAAATACAAACTAAAAATAACCTTCATGAAGTATTTAAATGGCAAACATTAAAAAGAAAAATTAAAAGCCTCCAGGTTTTCATTCCTAACTGGGAGAAGGTCAGTTAAGCCCAGAACATTCACGTTCGCAGCACCGCAGACGAGGATTAAGAGCAGGACCGCTTCTGCTCGCTGCAAGTGACAGTGTACATGTGTCTGAGCTTTGGAGACATGTTCAGTATTATCTGATGAGTGGGAAATATGCATTGCGAAGATCCTACTGGCCCACTAATGATACCTGGACACATTCTGTGGGCATGCTTTTGAATATGCCCACTATACCAGGCTTTTTTCTTTTCAGCCACCAACCACCACCCTAATCATGACACAGAAACTTATTATTAACTTTGAATGCTCACCCTAGCTTAGGCTCATTTCTGGCTAGGTCCTTTAACTTAAATTAACCCGCTTCTCTTTAGCTACCTTTTGCCTTGGAGCTTTTTAGTTTTCTCTCTTCTGTATATCTTCCTTTCACTGCTTCTCATATCTCCTTTGCTGGCGACTGCCTGGCTTCTGACCCCAGGCATCTCTCTTGTTCTCTCCTCTTTTTCTCCCTTTCATTCTTCTCTCGAGCCTGGATTTCTCCTCCTATTTATTCTCTCTGCCTGCCAGCCCCACTTATCTTTTCTCTGTCTAGCTGTTGACCATTGAGCTCTTTATCAGGCCAATCAGGTGTCTTAGGTGAAGACAAGGTGAAACAAATGCAACACATCTTTACATAATTAAGCAAACGCAGCAGAAACAAAAGTAACACCCCTTATACAGTTATATATAAATATTCCGCAGCATAAACACATGTAACATATCTTTGCCTAGTTAAAATAATATTCCACAACAGCACACCAGGAGAAACACATGCGAATGTATTGTAGTTCACGGCTTCTTAATGAGAGAACAGCCCCCAAATTCACAAACAATAGGACCAAGAAAGACGTTGCAGCATACCCAGCTGTGAGTGGAGGAGTAGAAATGGGGCACTTGATAAACTGCTGCCTCTATGCAGCGGCAGAGAGGAGTTCCCCCAATGGGAAGCTGAGTGAAAGGAGTAGAGTGTGTAAGGGTACAGGTCTTCCTTAAATTCCCAAGTTAGAGGGGTTACAGCAGCACAAAGGTAAGGAAAGTAGAGAAAGGTGAAACAGTCATTATGCCTGAGGTTACTTGCTTATACAAAGGCAAAGTTTATTTGTTCTCCGAGTTTTGGAAACTTCAGTCTGTGACCAATCGGCCACATTGTTCTGGGGCCTCTTGTAGGGACAGCCCATCATCATATAGGGAACCTGTGACAGAGCTTGTAGCTGGGATGGGAAAGGAACGGAAAAAGATCATGGCCCATCCCACAATCCCATTCAAATGCATATTCTCAGTGACTAGGAGAGACCTCCCCTGAGGCCCGCCACCAGCAGGATTGCCACACTGAACATATGGGCCTTTGGGGAACATTTAAATCCAAATTATTATAATCTCATGAAGTATAAAAAGGTGCACAAGGTGACAGGGTGCTGAAAATATGGTCTCCTGGCTTGGACTCATGAGAGCAGAGACCTTTTCTTTATAGGTATTCGTAAGCTTGTAATAAGCTAAAGAATTTGAGAAATGCCTTTTAAAAAGTAGTGCCATGCTGACAGAAGTTGTTTTTTGTAATCATGTCTTATTTTCCATTCATTTTCTTCTCATTTTTAGTGATGTGATACTTGCAATATAAAATCAACCAAAATAAACTTTTTTAAAAATAGAAACACAAATTGTTTACTAAATAAGTCTTTCTTTTGTCAACTGTACTAGTTTAATGAGGGCTTTTGAGGTAGAATTCTCATACCATATAATTTCTCAACTCTGGGTTTTTACAACTCACAAGATTGTGCAACCATCCCCACTATTTAATCAAGAACATTTCCATCATTCCTGAAAGAAACCCACACCCATTAGTAGTCATTCCTCACATCCCACTCCCCGACTTGACACTGGCTGCATTCTGCCTCTAGAGTTCTGCTTATTATTCTTGAACTGTAGTAAACCGATACAAGTTTTACAAATAGAAAAAATACGACTGTGTAGGAGGAGTAAACATGTCAAAAGATTATGAGTTGTATATAACAATTTGGGGTTTTATGCCTGGACTGTTGGAAGACCAAGAGAGTAGGGAGCCATTGAGAAATTGTAGCAAAAACTTTGTAGCACTTGGTAATTCCTGAAAATACTCGACTTTTCAAGAATACACTTTGTTTTTAGCTTGTCTCAAATTAGACTGAATAATATTGTTTGAGACTTCAGTTATATTTCTAAGAGGAAATATAAGGAATCTTTTTACATAAATTTTAGTAACTTTTTTTCAAGATTAAAGAAAGCAATACCTACTAATGTTGCTGCTATTGTTTATTTATAGTCAGAAAATGATCTTTGGTTATAAATAGACAAGGCCCAAGAAATGTTTGTGTGTATGTGTGTGTGTTGTTGTTGTTGGAAGTTGTTTGCTGTGTATGTGTTGTGTGCTCCCTTACAACCTAAAATTTGTATTCTTTCTAACTGTTAACATGCTTTCTGGTCACTAGGCTTCAGAAGAAGTATCGAAGTCCCTGCAAGCAATGAAGGAGATTCTGTGTGGTACAAATGACAAGGAACCCCCTACAGAGGCAGTGGCCCAGCTGGCACAAGAGCTCTACAGCAGTGGACTGCTGGTGACACTGATAGCTGACCTCCAGCTGATAGACTTTGAGGTGAAGGCTCTGTCCGAGACTGCTTCTTGAGTAACTAGTGAGCGTCTGTATTTGACTTACAGTGACTGATGTTCCTCCTGGGTCTTAGCAGTAAACAAGTTCTCACTTAACACAGTTAATGTCCACATATGGTACAAACAGCTTTCATAAAACCTTTACAGGCAGACTCATTAGCAGGCAAAAAGGCAAACTGTAATGAAGTTTTCTGCAGCTGGGTCAGTGACCACTGTTCACAGGAGGTAACAATTACTGGTACACAAGGTACAATTTCAAGCGCACAACTCATTCTTAGAACAACCTTTATGGCAAATAAATTGTATTCATTTATTAGTGTGTGTGTATGTGTGTGTGCAGGTAGTTGTGTGTCCTAGTCCATGTCAGGACAACTCTTTGGAGTGAGTTCTCTCCTGCCACCTTGCGGGATCAGGAGGTCAAACTCAGGTCATCAGGCACAGGAACCTTTTCTCATTGAGCCATCTCATTGGCCCTGTTTATCCCATGGTATAGATAAAGAACCCAAAACTCAAGATTTTAAATAATCTTCCTAAAGCCATGGAGTTGCTAAGCTGCATCTGTGATCCAAAGACTGTATTATCAAGCCTGTTCTCATTAAAATACTATACAAAACCAAAAATTTATTAAATGCCAATATGGTCATATGTTTTGACATCATTTTGAAAGCAGTTAAACCAAATTTACTAAGCAATTAGATAAAATAAAAGCAGTAAGTATGTTATAAGCATTTTATTATTATATTATTATTTATTGTATACCTTATCTAATAGTGAATAATGGGAATATTTGTGGCAGGTTTGTATATCCACTGTTTAGATGGTATGGTAGTCAGCCTGTTTTCCTATCTCTTTCTTTCTACCAGTATACTTGGTAGTGTCAGGTGTTTGTTTTTTGTTTTTTGTTGCTTTTTATGGACAGTAGGTAATGCAGGTTTTTTTTTAAAGCAAATTGATGTTATCTTTGTTTACAAACAGAAGAAAATTAACTACAGTGATTCAGCTGACATAAGGTCAGGGTTCTAGGAATCTGTGGAAAACTAACCCACAGCTCCCTGGACAGATAAGGTGGACATAAAAAGAGCAGACAAGACTGGTGGGGTATAAAATCAGCGTGTGCTGGAGAAGGGCCTCAAAGAATCCCGGCTTTAACTCATTCTTCCTTTCAGATACAACTGGCTGTCTCTTTCTCTCCCTTGTTCTGTTTCTCCATCTGGCATTTTCTGACGCATAGTGTCTTCTGTTCCTTGGGCTTGACTTGTTAAATCTCCATCTCCCTCCACTTGTTCCCATTTTCCTTTTCACCCTGGCTAGGCATGGAATCACAGCATGCCTTTACTATGTTCATATATGTAAATGTTTCTTATTTAGTTTAAAATTAGATAGCATGAACATAGTAGAAGCTTGGCATAGTGGAAAACACTTGACTTGGTGATGCAGCTGTCTGGAGTCCAGCCTTTGCTGCTCATTGTACAGCCAGCAAATGAACTCTTCTAGCCCAAATCTTCTCGTCTCTGTAGCGCAATGACGGGAACTGGTGACACTTCTGACAGCACTAAACTATGTGAAGACATGCATCCCGTCACGTGCACGCAGAGCTGTGAGGATGGAGGCGGTCTCTCCAACTTTCCTAGCCTGCCTACGGGAATGTGCTATGCATCTCCATGAAGCGCAGGCAAGGCCCCGCAGCCTAGAGGCCACACCGTTCCTTCTTCAGACCAGAGTATCAATTCAAGCCAATGACTGCTTGATAAAATTCTTCCTTGTTTCAAAATGTATTCTAACCATACAGAACCCCTAACCCTTGTCTCTCGGGTCATAGGTAGCATTCAGAAGCCCCTTTTGTTTTGAAACTACCTTGCATGTTAGGACTGTGTTTCCTACAACTGAGCTACTGCTAATCAAAGCTGTGAGGCACCTGGAATTTTCTTTGGTGCACTCCGTCCAGTGTTACATAGCACTTTGAACATGCTGTTCTGCGCCTGCCCTTGGTCATATTCTTTCCAGCAGCCCTCTGGAAAGAGACAAATGTTAGGTTGGTTGGTAGAATAAAAGAAGGTATCCTAGCCAGGCACAATTGCACACTTACAACCTCAGCAATCAGAAAGGAGGCTGGGCTGAGAGGATCAGATGTTCTAGGCTTGTTGGGGCTACTTAGAAAACTGTAAAAAAAAAAAAGACATCAATAAGCCATTTTTCTTAAGGAATTAATAAATTATTTGGTAGACAATTCAGGCTCCTTTGAATGGTGATTATAGCATTTCCCAAAAGGGGAAATCTTTCACCGTGTGTCTTTGAAGAGCACAGCAGGCATTTGACTAGAATTTCTGATGTTTGTATAACTGGGAGGAAAATTACTGTTTTAGGGATGGGCTCCTGTTCTTACCAGATAACCCAGGGGAAGAAACATTCCTTGCAGAGAGCAGGGGGAAAGGAACAACAAAAGTATGAACTTTTGTTTAGTGTCCACTGTGGTGGGCATGAGGCAGGTTGTTAGTTGTAAAGGTTGTATACAGTCTCTGAGCAATGACTGGCAGGAAAGCAATGGACTTAGCTACCCCTTTCAGAGAACGGTGACAGAAACAGGAGAGTAGTCTTCTTTAGCAGAAGAGAAGCATTTGGAACACGGAAAGAGAAGGCTTGAGACCACCACCAGAAAGGAAGGAGTATAAGGAAAATGATGACGGGGCAGACTGAAGGTGTTTTTCATGGGTCCGGGCTTCACCGTTATTGTCCTGGAGCCTTCCATGGGGACTGGTGTGAATGGTGTATACTGAGGGAAGGACAAAGAATGGTTTTCTACGCTCAGAAGGATGAGAATTACCTGTTGCTGGAGCAAGACAGTTAACAGGGTTTGCAAACTGGGAGACAGAGATTCAGAGCTCACACTGGCAGCAGTAGTGCTTCAGGAAGCAGTGACATCAGAGTTGACATCTGGGACTAACGCAGGAGTATGTGACAAATTCATTTCTCCTTCAAGAATCCAGAGGAAAGTGACCTGTGGGGAATGGGACAAGAGGAGAAGATTCTGCCATCAGTAAGTAAGAGCGAAAAGACAGACCTGAGTATAAAAAAGAAATCTCATTCCTCAGCCATAAATTCTTAACTAATCCTTTAAGCTTTAAATTTGCTGACAGAAAATAATCATTTGAGTATATTATAAGGTTTAGGGAGGGACAGAAGGTAGGAAGGAAGGACAGACTGACCTACCTTTACTAGATTCAGAAAGACTGATAGAGCCAAGGGGTAGTGACGCAGCTTTCCCTTCAAACGCCTCCAGACATTTCCTGGACCCCATTAGAACAGAGCCCATTTTGGAGCACAGTGAGAGGAAAACCTGGAGACTGCTTTATTCAGACTGTAAGTCTGAGTGACAGCTGATAGTAAGTGAAGGAAAATAGGACAGGAAAGTCATTCAGTTAGACCATGGACTGACCCTGGAGTCTGGAGGTTGAGAAGCAGTTTAAATAGGAAGGGAAGAGTCATGGGGTGTCAGGAGCAGTTGCCAGCATCTATCTCAGTCAGATGAACATGAAGAAGAGTTGCACATACTGACTGAGCTTATAGGATGTGTATTGTACTGTCTGTAAGGCAGGAGAGACTAAGGAGTGTAGGCATGTTTTGTACTGACAGAGAGGTTCTCCAGAGCATCCTGGGATACAGATTGGAGGGCGGTGACCTCCCAGACCTTCTTTGTGATGCTGCTGAACTCCCGTGGACCAGCAAGGGGACTGTGGCATGCTCTTTCCTTTTGGGAAACTGCAGTGAGCCCGTTCACTGAAGATTGTTGTAAAGGATCCAGTAGCACTAGGTCGGAGTCCTAGGACATGAATTTTCCATAAGCAATGCCATTGCTACTTCCTGCCGTTGCTCCAAGAGCCTCAACTTCAGCGGCAAGATCAGCCTCCTATAATGCTCCAGATCCTCAAAAAAGACAACAGAAAATTTATTGTATTCTCTCCAAAAAATAGTGATATGGTGCCATTTTGTAACTGGTGGCTCCGTCTTATTCTTTAGTACCAGTATTCAAAAGGAAGAAACACCGAAACTCTGAGTTTGAGGCCAGCTTGGCATATACATTAAGTGCCAGGCCAGGCAACATTGTTAGACCCTGTGTTACAAAAGAAAACATGGCACTTAAGACTAAAATGTCAAGACCTCTGATATTGTGGGCTCAAGATTAAACTTAGAACTGTGTCTTTTGAAGTTTGGCCACTACTTAAGACATAGCTTTAGGTCATTTCATATTCTGTAATGCAGGTGGTAAGAGATGAAGGGGTTAAAAATGTATTGCACGACAGGACTGATACATTTGCTTTAAAGGCAGGTATGCCTTGCCACGTAGGGGTGGGTGCAAAAGTCGAGTGTTCAGGCTAAATGAGAAACCAACTCCAAGTGGCAGAAAATGACACTGCGATCTAGCGGTCATTTCTTCCTATTGTCAAACTAGAATGCAAGGGAACAAGTCACTGTCAACAAGAGTGTGTGAGCGAAGGGTTTCAAGCCAAGATGAGGAGAGCCACCTGAAGAGCCAAGGATAAGCGGAACAAAAGAGGGGTGCAGAGAACTGGTTGGTACAGTTGGGCTGGTTGACAAGAATAGCACAAGCTCTTGACCGGTTGTTGCTCGCTGGTGTTACACATTCAAGGAAAGAACTGGTGATAAGCTGGAAGAAAGCATTTTTCAAGCTACTTAACTCTTTCTAATAGTACTAGTTCTCGACACAGAACCAGGATGAACCCGTTCAAGGTTAAATTAGCCAGATCATGAGATTTCAGAGTCCCAGAGCATGCAGCTGCTATGGTAACCATGACTGCCTAGCACAGTGGGGGCTTTCAAACCCTCTTCCTCTATATGTACCTTCACCATGGTAGAAAGCCCCACAAGACAGATTCCTCATCATTTCAGTAAGATGCTTCATTGTCCAAAATTTATGAAAATCTTTAGTCACTAAACATATTTCCTTCCTCTCTGGCCCCATTTAAAGCC